CGAAGTTTTGTTAAAACACCGGGGAATTTAAATGGTATTCAATAAAACTGAAAGTAATTAGTTACTCAACTCCATAGAGAATGCAATCTAACGGAATAGGTTATGACGTGCATCGTTTCTAAGCAAGTCACACTTCATAGCCGATGGTTCGTTCCTATTTCCGGTGAACAAGTGGTATTATATTGCATATTTGTTGACTACCTGCTTTGGGATGTAACAGATGTGTCATTTAGACACCTGTCATTACTTGGTACTATTATTACAATGGCATGGACAAATTTATTATTATTATCATCATCAACAGCTTTAATAGTCCACTGCTGGACATAGGCCTCTAATTAGAAAGGAGGTTTTGGCTTTTTTTTGGTGATGGGGTGAAAAAAAAGAGGATGTAGGAGGCAGTAGTATATGATGTTTCTACTAAAAACCACCCCGACAGCCCGTCCTAGGCTCTTGGAAGAATCCGGCCATGTGATTTCAGGTCCCTCTAGATCGACGCCGCACCTAACTAGGCCCTATCGCAGGGGAAGCCAATAGGTTCCCCCTTTTTTTTTTTTTCGTGCGGAAATCCTCTCGGATACCACCTGATACTAATAGCCGGGGAACCAGGTATACCCTAGAAAGGAAGTCCCTGGTGCCCCGACATACCTCGGGTCATCTACAGACGAGTAGACGACCCCCCCGTGTGGGAACCCCATGTTCCCTGTGCTCCCTAGAGGCGAGCGCGCTTCGCAACGCGCTCGCCGCCACCCCGGCCTGCTTCTGCTAGGGTGACAGATGGCCTCACCTGTCACCCCCAGGCCTGCGCTTATGGAGGACCGCAGGCGCCTGAGTCGCCTGCGGTACCTGGCCCGTTCCCGGACCTGGCGGGCCGGGAGCGGGGCCGGATTTTAATTAACAAGTATGACATTTTTAAAAATATTTAATCTTTCTTTGATTATCATCATCATCAAGAGTGTTTAATAGTCCACTTCTGGGCATAGGCCTCTCTTTGATATCTCGGTTTTTTCAAATGCAAGTTTTTTGTAATGCATAATGCAAATGCAAATGTTAATTTATACTTATGTCAAAAAACTGAAGAGCTTGATTGTTTGGTTCAACGTGCTAATCATAATAAAAATTGTCCATTTGGAACAAGTAGTTCCTGAACTGCTGATTCGAATTGAAAAAGTGTTGGGTAGCTCATTTGTCGAGAAAGGTTTTAGCCTATAATATATAACATCACGCCACCACCAATAAGAGCCGAACATCAACGAAAAATATTGCAAAAACGGGGAAAATTTATTCCTTTTGAGATACGCAAACAAATTTAAGCCGGGCAATTAGTAGATACTAAAAACGCTTATACATATTTTCGCAGTTTTCGTTACACCCCTAAAAAGACAAAACAAGAGGTGTTTAATTATTTCCTAAAGTTACTGTACAAATATAAATTCAAGTACATTCGCAATTAAAATATACTTTTTGTAAACTTCAAAATGGTTTGTTTTTAACAATTATTTCTATGTTGATAAGAACTTAAGATACTTCCTTAATCAGCATTCATTTTAATATTTTCAGTCATCATCATAGGAAATCTTATTTTAATTTCTAATACTCACAGAAGCTCCTAAAATCTCATAACAGAAATCCAATTATAAACTCAAGAATAACACGCCGGCGGTTAGAACACTCGACGGGCAGAGCTTTGATTTCATCATGCTCTCATTATCTTTTTATCATTATAAATGTGAAAGTATGTTACTTGGTCTGTCGTTCCTTAAACCAGCTATGAATCGAAGTAATATATTTCATAGATATATATATATATTATTAACTACAGTTAATAATATATATATACAGGGTACACCCTGCCACATTGTAATTGCATTGATGAAAAATGGGGAACAAATCTGACGCAAAAATATATTTAAAAAATCTTTGAAGCAGTTTGTAGATTGTGTCAAAGCTTGAGCTCAATTGGTGCAGAACTTTTTGAGTTGTTAAAATGAACGTTAAAGTTCGTTTTCGTTCGTTACACTAACGAACTTTTTTTTTCTAGATTTTAATTCGTTTTTTTTACCCTTATCCATTACTAAGAAGGGCCCTTTGTAAGTGATCCTAAATTATAAGCCAGATGTCGTATGATCCATTCCAATTCAATCACAGACCATTTATTGTCTGTATGTATTAAGTAAAATTTAAGTAAGATCCGTGTGGTGACGGATTAAGAATACGAAGTATAATAGGCCCAAACCTCCTTTCTAAGGAGAAGGCCATGTCCAGCAGTGGGCTATTATAAGCTGATGATGATGATTACATAAATATGTTTATCAGTAGTCTGATTACCATAGAGTTCTGCCTTGCTTGAAATCAGGATTTTTCTAAACCAACACCGAATGATGCTCATTACCCTATTATTTTGTTTGGATTTGTAATCTAACTCACAACCTTTAGCTCAGATATCAAGACCAATTACCACTAGACCAATAATAAGCCCGTCATATTAAACCAAAAAGAAAACAATTCCTAACCTTAAAGTCTTCGAACGAAGCCGTCTACGTCTGCAGCTATTAAGAACCAATAAGTCTTAATGGTGTAACATGTTTTTTCTTCAAACAGGATCGTGTCGCAATATCTCGCAGTTATGGTAACAAGTGGTAACCTACTTTAGGCCAGATGTATTAGATAAATAGACACACATATGTACATTATATATTTATATAATATATATAAATATATATATGTGTATATGTACTTACACTAAAGTTCTTAAATTTTAATGTGTATCTCACAAAAGTTATCCTGTACTAGTATCCGCCAGGAGCGTGAGTTGATTTCGAGTTACTCAATCAGTTTTTCTAAGATAAAAAGTAGCCCATGTTTTCCAGATTATAATCTATCTCTGTGTCAAATTTCTTCTAAATCTATTTAGTCGATCTGGTGTGATTTAGTCACAAGCATTCATCTAAATTTTCAGAAATGATTTTCGTCTTCTCTGATTCACAAAATTGCTATTTCGACTCAAGCTCAGCTTGTATCTTTACACTGCCTGTAAGTCGTCGACCAGATTGCGCTAGCTATGGTCACATGTTACATTATACTACAATTTTTATAGCTTGTATTACCACTTACAAAAATAGTTCTTATTAAAAAGTTTTAATGCTTGACCGAACCACAAAGCATTGCTAGGCGTTGTCCTTTCACCGCAACTCAGTCTGTTCTATTCGTGATTTTATCTCCGCCCTTTGGCCTTGTTTTATAAATCATTGTTAAAACTGTCACGTTTTTATTTTATTTTGTATTACTAATTACAGTTATATCATAACTCTTAAATAGAGTCTGGAATTAATTGTAGCAAAGTGGTGTGCAATCTAGATAAAGAAATAAAATTGTAATGTCTGTTTCTAAGATCATAATTACTTTTTACTGTCTGGTTGTTACGGTGAATCTCTGGAATGAGTGGACCAGTTTTTATTGAGACTATTGGCAGCAGATAGCTAATGTTATAAGAGGTAACTTATAACTATATTTAATGTCACCTATAGATCAAAATGAACTTAAACTTTTAAACTTATGCAATATATAATTAAAGGTAGGTAGTTTTTATGTGGTAGCTTTAATATCCGTATATATATAGGTACATAATTATATAACTAAATCTATACCTACTATCACTAAACCTTAATTTAAGATAAAAAAGAAACTGTTACCGAAATTTCTATGAACCTAGGTACAGGTGAAACAGTTGACGAACAAGACAAAAACAGATGTTATAAATATATTTAGTAGAAACGACTTGCAGTCCATTCCATACATACGATGGGCCTGTTAGTCCAGTGGCTATTGACTCTGACTGCTAAGCCGGAGGTTCGATTCCCACCCAGGACAAATAATTGTTTGACAAGTAGGTACGATCATTGATCCTGAGTCTGGGTGTAATTTATTTTTGTGGACATTTTTAGAAATATTGAATTATGTTTATCAGCAGTCTGTTTACTATAGTACAGACTCTGCCTGGTTTGGGATCATATAGCAGTGTGTGAGATGTGTAAAGTAATAATCATTGTTATACAGGAAAAAATATTTAACTTTCTACCTTTTTAAGAATTGAACTCGCCTCAATTGCTTAACGACAAAAAGTAAACATATTCAGGGCCAAAGCCGTATATGGATGGACGCCTTTCTGGCCTACTTGGGCTAAACTTATACAGTACTACACCTGTATAAACATTGTTGTGTAATAAGTAAAAGTAAATAAATGTATTGGATTAAAATAAAAGGAATGGTTTGGCAATGAGCCACTAAAGTAACCGAAGTGAACGGTCCCGACTCGATACTGCTTACGAATGATAAAATAATAACAAAATGTAGTCTTAGTCTAATGAGCGTATAGTGACCATTTCTTTCTCAGAACGATAGGAAATGAAACATAATGACTATGGAAAAAGGAGAAGTGAAGTTCAGAGAAAGTGTGTGTGTGTGTGTGTGTGTATGTGTGTGCGTGCGTGCGTGTGTGTGTGTGTGTGGTGTCATAACTCGGTGTGTTCGTGGGTCACTGCTGTTGATCCTGGTGTACAGGAGTAACGGTGGTGGGCGTGTGGGAGGGATTTAGCCCCATTAGGTATCATTTAGCCTGTTGATCAAGTGGTTAGCGATCAGTACGAATTCCACCCAATACAAATAATTGTGTGGCGATCATTTGTTTAGTGTAAATATGTATTTCTTTATAGAAGGAAAGAAAGAATATTATTTATTCCATGAAACACTAAAACACTAAACCATACACGCAATATCAAAAGGTGAGTAAGACGAAGAGACTTTAATATATAAGTATGTTTATTAGCAGTCTGGTTACTATATAGGCTCTGCCTAGTTTGGGATCAGATAGCCGTGTGTGTGAGGTTTTTAAGTGAAGGAGAGTAAGAAAGAGTAAGAAGTGTTCATTCCTTAGAAATAATCTAGTTTATAAATTAATGAGAAAATATGTAATTTGTTATTTCATTGTTACAGACTGAACCATGTGGCGAATGCTGTTGTTACTGGTGGCAGCGACCGCGCGTTCCAAGCAATTGCCGTCCACTACAGGTAATAATCATGATTTTATAATTTTTCTTTATCCGAGTGAGTGAAACCCTTCCTCCACCTGTTTGGTAAGGAAGGGTATCTTGTAGGGCAGCAAAGCACTTGAGTTGCAGATCTCCATGAGCAGTCTCAAATACCATCTCAAAAATGTTTCTGCTTGTGTGGTTATTTGATATCCCCCTTCTTGTAGATTTTCAAATTACGAACATGCCGAAATAGTAGACTCCTTCGGGCTAATTTAAACTTCTGCCCCAACAATCTTAGTTCTGTTTCTAAGTTCTGTACCTATCTCTGATGAGGAGAGATATGCAATATCCTTTATAATCCGCCCTTTACTCGAATATCAGAATCAGAAAGCTTTATTTGTAAACGTTAATTGCCAAAACATTCTGCAATGAACATTATGAGGATAATGACGATGAGCAGTAATCAAACCCGCAATCCTCAGCGCTGATGGAAGCACTACCGTCGCAATACATTCTATTCGACACAATAACACATCTTAATAATTCAAATGCCGAAAACTTCGATATTTGGTCACTATTTAAACGGTTAAAACCCGCTCTCATATAAAAGTGACACCTATACGTACGATGTATCAGGCTGTAGTGTCCGGCGACCCCGGGGTCGACGACCCTGCGCACGCGCACCGACGCTCGTTTTTATATGGGAGACACTGTCTTCGAGACGTTTTGCAAATGATTTTAACTTATGTTTGAATTTAAAGTTAAATTTAGCTTTATTTAAACAGATAGTAAGTAAATTTGCATAAAATATGGTATAATGTTAGTAAACAATAAATACTTTAATAATTACTTTACTCAAAACACAAACAAAGTACCTATTATAATTTGAGTATAAACCTTTTACCACAATGCATTTCTACAATGAAAAAACTCTTTTACAGAATAAAAGCTCTGTTTAATCAGCCTTTTAATTAGTTCTTTATAATAATTATGGTATATTTCATTAATGATTTGTCAGTTTAAGCAAATAAATATATGAAGTCATAAGCACTTAGACAAATAGGCACCACAAAACAGCGACTCGAACCCCAGACTCCAATCATACAAGAGCTACATAAAGAACCACATGATCTTTACTTTGTCACCTACTAAGTGTCTTTTTATAAGATATAATTTCATGAGTGTTTTAAAAAAACTCTCTGAAATAATAGAACCCTTACTATTCCTTCATCGAACTACTAGACAGAACAGACAGACAGAACTTCATTTCTTTCAGCGTCGAATGACCTGAAGACTTTCTGTATGAACTAAATACTTCAGTTTGACTTCTCCATTCTTTCAAATTGCCAAAGTCTGGAATGAACTTCCAACGTCTAGTGTTCTAAGCAATACTTATCCTGGAACGTTTGAGAGCAGAGTGAGTAATTTTCTTTTATAGGCGTATACCGTCTTTGATGTTGTCGTCACTTTTCATCAAATGAGTTGGACAACAAAGGCCTATTTTTTTATTATTTGTATGTGGCTGAGGAAATTTTGTTAGGTTAAACGCTCCTTTCTGAAACTTAGAAGTTTCAAAACGGATCGTAAATTTAAGTTACGGCACTACAGATTCCCACCCAGGACGGATGATTGTGTGAGCACGATCATTTGTTTTGTGTCTGGGTGTAATTCATCTATAATATCTATGTAAGTATGTAGTATTTAGAAATATAAAAGTATGTTTATCAGTAACCTAGTTACTATAGTACAGGTCCTGCCTAGTTTGCGTTCTGACGACCGTGTGTGAATGTTTAAAGTTATTATTTCTATTAGTAATATCATGCTGCAACTCCTTAGAGCCGAACAGTGACCATAAATTAGGAAATACCTAGTTAAAATAATATATACTTAAGTAGTAACTAAATATTATGTCATTTTGCGGTGGGCTAACCCTACTTTACATAATAATAGTCGGTCGTGCATCGCTAGCATGTTGAGACGTCATCGCCTCGGTTGTTCCGGCTGTCTAGGGTTAAACTCCGAGTATGACAATCATTACGCTTCGTTGGGAAAATATAATTAAACGAAGTGACTCTTACAGTTCCTAGTACAAAAGCGACTGTAATGACATGGCTCAGGCATTGAACTTGCTACAGATTCAGGTCTGCTACAGTTTTCTTTGTGAAGTCTTCACGCCGGAAATACTTAACTCATCATCATGAATTTTTGATAACTGATATCTAACTGACAAATGAAACGTCAACAAGGGCGCATGCAAACGCTTTTCTATATTGACTATAATTCTTGCCAGACACATGTACAGAGAAACAAAACAAGAGCCTCAATTTGAAAAAGAATTTATATACTGATCCCCAGGACTTAAGATTTAGGAGATATTCCTCTACTTGATTGACTTCCTTAAAAAATGATGGGCAGTCACTGGATTAAGGTGGCAGCATCGTTCATTGTAGCAGTTTTGCAAGAAAACTATAAAATGGATCGGACTCTTAATACCGGCTTTACCTACAAATTGCAATTCTTATGGCATTCTGACATCAGCCCTTGACCACGGCTAGTGTAAACTGGTTTGTACATCAGAGAATACAACGATACAAAATACCTCATTCGTTATTGTAAATATACTTGATGATCCTGTCCATGACGCATCTCTGATCCAATGCACAACACCGACCCCTTCATGCAAATGAAGTCTCAACCTCGTTTCACATTCGAGGTTTTCAGTATTCCCTACCTTAGTTCGCCTGAATTTCTTAAGCCCAATTTACATTCTTTCTGGGATAACAGTCACAAAGAGGGTAGACGTCTGTAAAAGAAATCAGACACAATCTTTTAGAATATTACATTGCGCTGACGACAGATGCAATTGGGAATAGTGCTGAAGATCATGGCAGGCAAAATCTTCATGTTTACAATTTTAGTTAGTTCATCAACAGCCTTTAATAGTCTACTGCTGGAATCTGGACATAGTCCTCTCCTTGGAAAGGAGGTTTTCGTATAAGGTTTGTGTCAAGTTTTCCTTCTCTTTACCACGGTACTATTATAATACAGTACTCCAACTTCATACAAACGGACGAAACGCGAGCTATACCTACGCGCCTCGATCTCGGGGTGCGCTCGGGGCGCAGACAGTCACGGCTGTACCGCAGTGTCGAACGGACTGTGTGTTGTTTTTTTAACAATAACCGCGCGATATTTCCTCTAAAAATCAGTTAATATGACGAGTAGGAAATATTGTGCTGTTTTTGGTTGTATGAATTCGTCAATAACGCATCCAGACATAAGTTTTTTTTAAATTACCTGGAAACTCTGAAAGGTAAGACTATAAAATAATTTTACTTACTAGTAGGTAGGTACATAATGTGTGTCTTTTTAATGGATAAGTATTTCCTTTTATCTCACGAAAAAAAAGGTGTTTGGATGAATAAATAAAGCAAATAGAGTAACGGAAAGTTATTGAGACGAGTTAAATAGGGAGTTATATGCGGTTCTGAATGAATCATGATACGGTAGGTACCTACCTACTTACGCTTGTGTTAAAACTTCGGTGCATGTGTGATTTGTTACTTTGCATAATTCAAAGTAAAGACGTGGTATTTTATTATTAATAATATTGGTTTATTATCTGTGTGTATGAATAATACTAAAAAAAAAAATTTCCCGTCTGTGTGTCATTAGACAGTTTTCGAAATTTTCACAAAGTGTTTCTGCTGCTACTATAACAACATATAAAACTAAAAACTGGTTTTATTTTCTCGGTATTAACAACAACAGCTAGAGCTAGGTTGTGATTTTAAAACATTCGTAGTCAGCTGTTCAGCTTTTTAATAATTAATTAATTGGTGACCAAAGAATTTTTGTTTTGAGTAGTTGCGAGTTGTAGGTAGGTACCTAATTTATAGAGACGTTAATAAGCTGAGATAAAAAGTTACTTACTCGTCAGCTGTTTCTTGCATTCTAGTTGAGTAGGTAGGTGTTGGAGTTTCTAAGGATTGGAGTTTTGTAACGCGTAAGGAGAAAGCATATTTATTTTATTTTATAGAAGGATTTTTTTCGGTCGCAAATTTATAAGCCCGATTTGTTTTTCAAACAAAAACATGTTTTTTTAATTAAATCTACCAATCAAAAAACAACACGCATTTTTATTGATTGAATCACAAATCTAAATAGAAACAGAAAGTAGGCAAATATAATTAAAATGCTGGAGACGGGCAGCCCTAACGCATGTTTACGTACCGCGCGGCTGTAGGCATTTATTTCTATCATGCGGCCGAGTTACAGTACTGTATTATAATTGTACCGTGTCTTTACAGTGCTTTGTTCTGTGTAGCTTGCTCCTTTAGTCGGCTCTTAAGACACCCACAGGATGAATATGTTAGTTAAATAAAACTGACACTAAAGAATCCTAAAATAGTTAATAAAATTTAACTGTAAAAAAATGTCAATACATCGTAATACCGTTAGAAAAATTAAGGTAACATAGACTGTATTTTCCGTTGTACTTTCCATAGTAATTTATACGTATTTGTAACATATTTACACATATAATTTGTAATGCTTTCTGCCCCTGTTATAGTTATTACTATAATTGATATAAACAACGGCTTTAACCAATAAAAATAAACTTAACGGAGCTTGAAATAAGATAGAAAGTCAGACTATTATTGTAGGTTCTTTACGGTGTTTGAGTTTTACTATAATTTACGATTGGTACAAATCAAAGACATAATACAGTTATTTAACTTAATTGCGGTTGCGTCTATTTTTATGCAATTTTAGGTTATGTTTTTACTTCATTCAAACCTAAAACATATAGTTTTAGTTTTGAATGAAGTAAAAACATAAAAAATAATATTAGCGGAAGAAGAATAATAAGAGAATGACACTGGGTATATAAAAATTAGAAGTAACCATATGTTTTCACGCTATCGGGATTTTTGGTATTTTTTTCAGTAATTAACCTATTTTCTTTTGTATTAATATCTCATTAAACTATAAAGACAAAGTATTAAATTATTCTGAAGTGTCTTGTCTGTCTAAATTATTGTGAAATGAAATTTCAGTCTTAACACTCTTTATTCAACGCTTAAATTGCATCGTATATACTCTATAGCCGACTAATTCTGCCTACGCGGCGATGAAGCTTTTCTACAGTGCGTTTATAATTGCACAGGGAACATGGGGTTCCCACACGGGGGGGGGGGGGGGTCGTCTACTCGTCTGTAGATGACCCGAGGTATGTCGGGGCACCAGGGACTTCCTTTCTAGGGTATACCTGGTTCCCCGGCTATTAGTACCCGAGACGGCGTGCGGTTTTAGTCGGTTCGAGTCCGACATGCCACCGACAGGTGGTATCCGAGGGGATTTCCGCACGGAAAAAAAAAATAAAAAAAAAAAGTGCGTTTATAATTATACCCTCAAATCTCATTTAAAGTTGACAATAGGGCGTCCAAAATACTTTAAAATATTATCTTTCTACTTATATTCTCTTCTCTTCACCAGAACTATCGACAACGGTGGGTTCAGCGACGGAAGCGAATACGACACCTTGGCCTGGCTCTGTGGCTCCCCTCGACACCATAACAGTGGCCTGTGAGAAGGACAGCATGCATGTCACCGTGGGACTAGCTAAATCACTCTCAAAGTATGGTCGAAACCTTTTTTTTTGAACTAACATCATATACCAGTACAGTCTCCGGTTTTGATGATGACTGCTATGGTTACTAATAATTACCTACTTAATAGGATACGAGTTTCTGTAGAGATTAGAGTTAGTTTTGAAGTTCAGACAAAACACAGGAGATATTTGCACGAATTTGAGAGTGATACCGTCAGTATTGTCTGGATCTGGTAAATGGCTGGCCTTCTGATATGAGAAGTTTGTTTTGTGATTTCGACTCTTCTGCATATGACTGTCCTTTACATATAAAATCTGGCTCTACGCAGCAATATTTGCCCAGGTCAGCCCTAGTGAAGTTCAGAGAATCTTCTATACTCTCTGGTTGTATTTTTCCTGGAGGACTACTAGTCCCTCATTGTTTTCTATAAAAATGATGCCTTGAAATAATAAATTCGATAGAGCTAAGACTAAAAGAAAAGAGAAAAATAAATCACACAAAAATTGCATGTTAATTTTCTGTTCTACAGCACGTACGACCGTTTTAATGGGATCGTATACCCAGCTGGTCTGGGCAGCAACTCCACCTGCCTTCGGGAGTATGTCTCTGAGGAGGGAGATTTGCAGTACACCCTCCCACTCCGGGGGTGTAACACCATGTCTAATGATAACGTAAGTGGTTTATAGAAAAAATCTTTTTAACTTTGACAAATTATGTTTTTGTCACTTGCTTACATTTTGTTGAGAGTAAGAGATATAGAGTAAGAGCTGTCGGTAGACTGCAAGGAAATGTCTCTTAGGTCGTGGTTACGACTGTCGATCAGTGCAAATACTTGTATTAATGACTCATCAGTATCATTTCAGCCATAGACATTTACTTATTATTTTTTTGTTTGTGGAAACCTCCTCTGGTCATCGCCTCACTGGAGCCTAACAGCAAGGTGGAATGTCGCCCATAAACCGACTAAAACCACACAGTGTTCGGTCATCAGTTATTTTTGTTTAGTCTGTTTGTTGTTAAGGAAACACTAGCCGAGACATATATTTCTGCATGAACTTACACATATGCAATAGAGAATATCCACAGTTTCAAATTCAAATTACTAATCTAGATATATACCTTTCTACATAACGAAATCTATGACTGGAATTTTCACTCAAATATAATATACCTCACACATTTCACACACGGCTGTCTGATCCCAAACTGCTGATAAACATACTTATATATTTTTAAATACATACATATTATAGATAAATTACACCCACACACAGAACAAATGATCATGCTCATCACACAATATTTGTCCTGGGTGGGAATCGAACCCACGACCTCCGGCTTAGCAGTCAGGGGCACTAACCACTCGACCAACAGGCCCGTCGCAATACATTGCTTAATTTGATTTTCTAATTATTAATAATGAACCCACAAGTGGGATAGTGATAAATTAATATATCAGAAGGTAAAATGGTGAATTCAAAATTAACAATCTCTGTCAGTAGAACATATAATTAGAAAGTACTGCGCATGCGTTCATAATTAAACCGCGTTTTACTCCAACTGACCTGAAAGCGTAAAAAAGTAGTGTGGTTTATGAAGATAATTGACTCTCTTCCCATAATTGTATTCTCGGAAATATCTTCTGTGGTTTGTACCAATTTTGATACAGTTTAGGCATTTTGATATAGTTTAGGCAGAAGCTATAGAAATTTAGCAATTTATTTACGAGTAAAATACATATTGTCTAACGAAGATTTTCTTTGATAATTCGTTGAAAATTAACCAACCACGAAAAGGAGGAGGTCCTAGATTCTACTAAATATTATGTTTTTGTGTGTATGGAACCCGATATCTTCGTTCTTTGTGCACCATTTGTTCAGTCTTTTGGTAATCGGGCTTTGGGTGATCGGTACACTGTTATTGTGTTTGGTGTCGTTATGTGTATTTTTCCTTAAAGCTAGCTGAATCAAAATATCTGTGAAGATCATTCCATTTTACTAGTAAACTGTTATTAAATTAAATAATACCTTAATTTTGCCCCTTTTTTGGTTATATTTTTGCTTCCTGTGTTTCTAGAGGTTGACGGACTAAAAGTGATTAACCAGAAAAAAATGCAGTTGAATCATTAAGTAATAAGTATATAATGCTGCGCCTACGCATATTGTCGTTCCGCTACAAGAAACTGCATTGTTCTGTTATGTTCACGGTACACCTACCAGAAGACATAAAGCGCATCCCACACTAAGACCTTTTAAAATTATTGTCAAGCGTTTATGTCTCAATTGTAGAGATATTTATTCTAACTATACTTAGTATTTACCTAGAGGTTAAAATTTAACCTCGGCGCTTTAAAGTATTGCTTATAAAAATTACAGTAGAGAGAAAAAAAAACAGAGGTTTGCAAATTCGAACCTTACCTATACACTGACGACGTATCAACAGAATTTAGCTTATCTGGGGCAGGTTAACAAGAAAACTAGGGACGTGTGACCACTTTGATTCTTAAAACGTATTCTTAAAGCAAAAGAGCTGAGAGGAAAAAGAAGAACGTACTTTACGCAAGGAGTTTTTTCTTATTCTTTAGTTAGGACACCACAATCTTCTTAAGAAACCTACTGCCCCTTTATTGCATGCAATTATTCAGTAAAAATCATTTTCTACAGAGTACAATCTAATAACCCTATTACAAAATCCACTTAGAAACTCTTGAGTCATACAAATCGCTAAACAAATAATTTTTTTAGCACTTTTTTGTTCACCATCTACGTTTCTTCAAGTAACACCTACATATTACGTAATGCAGGAAACACGTAATGTGTAGGAGCTATTCTTATGAGTCTTAGACGCCAAAAGGGTTCTGAGCTGTTACCAAGAGCAAAAGACCTTATGCCGAAGTGGCTGGCGTAGTGCCGATAGCATTGATTTGACTGTCCATTATTACCATTCAAATTGTCCATTTACGTTTCTAAGACGAAGCCAGGGTTGACATTTTCTGTCCAACTTAAACAAGCTTAGTTAATCATTGTAGTTTAATAATTTAATAAACTTAATAAATTAAAACAGGCTTTTGAACATACATTGAGCACACGCAAACACTCGTAAGTCAAGGTTTCTTCGTAATAACTGATCAAAAACTTTAAAATACCATACCAAAAGCATTTACTTAAAATCATGTATAATTTATTTAGATTTAAGTTCTTTCAGATGATTAAAGCATTCAAATTGTTACATTCGATTGCCTAGCTAACAGTTTCGTTTTATTTGTTTTTCTATCTCTCGGAAACAATACTCTTCTTTCTGAATGAGGTAGTGAGGTGTCTAAATGATATGTGATAAGGTGATTAAATGAGGTCAAAATCACTGAAAATGTGCTAAAAAATGCACCATGACAAATAAACTCACATTCTTGTTAATAATATATTGTATTTCAAATGATAATTTATCACATTTAGAGATTGATGAGACCTGAATAATTTATGTTTGTCTTGAAGCTCCTTAACTAGCGCCTTCAACCCTGACTATAGAATAAACTGTACCTAGTCACACTTAACCATTATCATCCATTCATTGTTTTAGTGTTAGGCAATTTTCTACATAGCAGGTGTGGTCTATGCCGCTATAGACTATTGTATATATGCGCTATGTAGCCAATCACAAATGTTTATCATGTACCTAACAACAAACTAAGTGTATGTTATCTATCTTTTTAAAAATATTTACAAATGTATTTATCTCTCTGTTCCAATTAATATAGACTCTTTAAAAATCTACTCATTGTCTCATCGATTAGTATTTAGTAGGTACATTCTGTTCAATATAGAGAGCTCAAAAGAAGTATATGACATATACACCGACTTTGAGAAGGCCTCCGACCACGTCGGTCATATGATTCTAATAAGATATAACGAAGTCCAGGTTTATTGTATTCTGTTTCGGCAGGTCGTTTATTATTTTTCAAATATTATCTTTGTTTACAAACAGTGGCTAATTCATGTTTTACTGGTGTTGAGTCTGGTGTTCCCCAAGGATTATATATAGGCCCTCCTTTTCACTCGGTATATTTACTCACCTTAGTGTAACAGTTAATTTTTAATAAACATCTATACCACTTTACATCCCACAAAAACGCTACACATAAAAACCAATACATTCCATTACAATACTAAAAAAAATACTTAATTTTTTCCTCAACACAATTCGTGATCATCAATTTATGCTCGAAGCCTATTCGTGGGATAACCATTGCCATGACTAATGTATGATCTCATACAGCCTTCCTATTTCGTGATACAGCACATATATGTAATATATTGCACCTGTTTATAACTTATAAATTGCCTCTATTTCCTAGTGTTATTGAAAGCTTTTGAAACACTAGTTTTAGCCCGCGGCTTTCATCTTAAGATTTTGTCAATCAATTTAGTTCCTTCAATCCCTAAGGACCAGTTTTGAGCAGTGGTTTTACTCACCTGAATGTAGATTTTATGAATCGAATTACCTAGACCAATACATACACACAACGCCATCTTGTTTCAGACAACACAGAACTTTTACTATTTTCATAGTAAAAGTGCTACATTGATTGAACTGATTGAACTTATATACTTTTTGTTTTGAAATACATACATATTATACATAGAAAACACCTAAACTCCAAACAAATATTAGCAAATCTTACCAACATTTGTAGCCGCTTTTCTTCTCAGGCGGACTACTCACCGGCTGACCCAGTGGAGAGATCTATGAGATTACCTCAGGGCGCCTTCTAAGAGAAAAGAAGTGTGTGCGTGTGGGAAACCTACGGGACTCTTTAGAGGAAAACAACTTACACCTCAGTCATACATACATGTATATTTCAAAACAAAATTAAATTTACAATAAAAAAAAATCAGAGGGTATAAAAAAAAAACCGCAGCGGAGCGCGTCAGAGCTGAGCTGATGGTGCTCGGTGCCTACCTCGTCGTCCCTCCAGGAGGTTACTTCCTCTTCCGCCCGAGTCGGCTATTTATATTGGATATGGATAAAAGTTTAATAAATTACAATTATAAGTTTAAGTACGTAACTCTTGGGTACGGCTGTCCGCTTGCGTCGTGAGCCGCGCAATCACCAGCTTTGCCAGAGGGTACCGAGAAACTTGAGTCTGTACCAGAAGGCCACAAAAGAGCAAGCACGCCGTCTAAGACTGACTGTCTTGACCCCGAAATCTGGGACCCTACGAATGGATTAGCACTCATATAATTAAACAGGTTCCAGAAACAAATAGGTTTAAGTAGAATTAAGAACATACTCACCACCTTAGTGTGGGTACTTTAAACAGACTACATATTACGAAATTCAAATTACACGACAATCAAAACACTATTTAAGGTTGGAAGACACGAGATAGCAGAGTGTCTCCCGTGGCAGAAAGCCGGACCTATATATCCTCGGTTCAGGAATCTTCCAGAAGTTAACCCCTCCTCATCATTTCACTTTGACATTTACATTGAGAAAGAAAACAACGCTAACAAAATCAAAAGTAACTTGCTTTCCACCATAGCTGAACACTCTCAACACCTACACAATTTGACATGACAGAATAACAAAACAGATTAAAAAAGGAAGTTCTTTTATCAATCTATTATGTCTCAAACAAGCGCCATCTAGTGGACCGAAAGTGAACGAAAAAGAT